TGTTTTTGAAGACAATTTAATTGCTTAACCCGAAAATACAATAAAAATAACCGGAACATGGCCCTGATAAACACAGTTTTAATAAAATAAACTTCCTATGCATGACTGCACGAAATTTTTGTTTCGAAGTTTGTCTCCAGATAACCTTCGAATTTTTGACTCACATTTTCATGGTCTAAAATATCTTATTCGCCTATTATCGATATAATTTTGTGAAGTTATGAGGAACTGCAAGTTACAACCCCCAAAAATACTTCAAAATTTTTGAACAAAATTTTCAATTTCTAGGCAACATTTAGCATTGGCGGTGAATTATATGGATTTGGAAGACATTCAAACTTGAAAAAAGGCCAGCAAATTATCTAGAACTGTGTTAGTATCTCATGATTACAACTTCGTACTCGAAAAATTAAAAAAACGCAGAAGCAACACGATTCACTTTAAATGGCGGAAAAACTTTTCGGGATATACAACATTTTTTTTTAAATCTAACATTCAATTAAATAATGAGTAATAAATTGAAACAAAATTGATCAACTACGCAATTTTTTTTATTCAAAACATTTTTAAATTTTTATTTGAAAAAACATCGAAGCTAACCAATAAACTTTGCATCAATACTCAACTTCTGAACAATTTTCAAAGATCACGTTTCGAGTAAACCATATTTCAGCACCACAATGGGAGTTGTTACAAAGTGTCTGCTAGAGGTTTGCAGACACCATACAAGCACTGAAAAATCAAAATTGCAACTAAAAAATTAAAAATTAATTAGTATCTTGCATTTTTACTGCAAGTTCAATTAAAATGATGCACAAAAGGAGTAACAAACTGTCCGTTTTCATGCACTACCTTAAAATTTCTTGCAAAATAAGAGGTCAGTTTAAAATAGTTTAAAAAGCCTATTTTTTTCATCTCTTTCTAATACTGTTTTTTTGGCAAACCGTTTTTTGCTTAACCGGACCAAAATGAAGTAAAAGTCAAATATTACATTGTTTTTCAGAGAGCATTAAAATGCACCGTGAGGTGGGTCAAAAACGCACAATATGTTACATTTTGGGCAAAAAAAGTGCTACTGACTTCAGTTCATACTTTAATAGTTGAATAGAGATTAGCAAATCATCCAAAAATTGCGTTAGTAACCCATAACTACAACTTTGGACCCAAAACTAGCACGATTCTTATTGAAAGGCAGACAACATATTGGGATCAAGAACCCTTCTTATTTCACCTAATAGTTCTTTCACCTAATGATAAGAGCAATTAGCAAAAAAAATTGATTACCTACACGAAATTTTTCTATCAAAACTCTTTATGAACATATTTGAAAAAAGTCAAGCTAATCTTTTTTTTTTATCAAAAAATTGATTTCTATGCATTCGAACAATTTCAAAAATCTCGTTACTGGGAAACATATTTCAGCATCACGGTAGGAGTTGTTACTAAGTGTCTGCTAGAGAAATGCAGACGTGCAGAAATCGTGAAACACTGAACAACCAAAATTGCAACAGAAACAGGAAAAAATTATTGGAAAAAAGAAATATGATAAAACAATAATAAGTAGAAAACAAATTATTTTCACAAATTTTTTCAATTATAACCATATTAAAACTCTAATAATTCTTTTTTGAAAAAAAAACAAAACTACTCATTCTATCTTCAGAAGTTTTGATTTCTATACTTTTGATCAATTTTCAAAAACTGATTCCGGGGAAATGATTTTTCAGCAACACGGTAAAAGTTGTCACTAAGTGTCTGCTAGAGACTTGCAAAGACCATAAAAGCACTGAAAAACCAAAACATTTCAGTAACTTGCATTTTTACCTAAGTTAAAATAATGCAGGAGTTGAAATTTTGTCAGACTTTATACACCAACGTAAAGTTTCTTGCAAAAAAAGTCCTGAAAACTTATCACTCCAAGAACACTAGGAGAGCAGTTTTGTTAAAATAGCTGTTCATTTTCTTTCTGATACTTACTTTTCCGGAAAACTTAGGCAGACCAATATGAAGGATCAAATTTCACATTTTTTTACATAACATAAAAATGTGCATCTTGAAGTGGGTCAAAAACAAACAACTTGTTGTATTTCGGGCAAAATGATTGCAGTTGTCTTCATTTTTCCGTTTCTCAACATAAGTTTGCATGAAATGGTGGAGGAAGTGGGGTTATTTCTTGAAGGAGTGACCAAATGATGGAAACTTTTCGATCAATCAGAAACCTTAGACGTATATCGAAAAGGAATCAAAACGGTTTTAAGAATTTGTCTTCAAGAAATCATATCTTAGAATGATTCTAAAAAATATTGATTGCTTTTCCGTTACATATAAAAACCAGCGGGATTTGGTGAGCATTCGAAGGCTTTTTTCAACGAAAATTCAAAGATAGCAACTTTGGCCATTCGACATTTGTTCTCGTCAACTATGCTTTAAGATTCAGACCATTCATCTACGGGGGAAAGGACCAACACTAGAGCTGTACAGCTCATCACGGCGAACCGCTGTTGTGCCCCTGTTTAGGAACTACATGCAATTTTTTTAGTTTTTTTGAGCTGGGTAATGTTGCTTCACCCTCAAGCAACGAGCACGGATCATGGTGGGCCTCGAACATCCCACCTTTCGATTGATTGAGAGGCGGAGACGTAACCACTTCAACACCACTCCCCTTTCATCTTTCACATAAACTTGTTTTACGTAATTTTGACTTGTATTTCGTAATTAAGTTAGACTAGGCAGCTTATATAATGACAGACATGGTCATGGTAACAATCTTTTTGTAAGCTTGGCATAAGTTTGGGCATTAAAAGAACATTTTGCTTGCTTTCAACCAAAGTAGAACACTTGTTTTTGTTTGTTAAATTATAAAGACAAAAGTTTTAAATTGGTTGAAAGCAAACAATTTTTTTCGAACGTAAAACTGCAGCTCGAACGTTTTGTTGGATAATCTTGCCGACCCCTTGCCTGCTCGAATCGAGGTTGTTTGCCACTTTACAAAAATTAATCGGAGGTGAAATATATTTTTAAATTTGAACTCAGGAAGTCGATATCTTCAATGAGGAAGAAAAAAATTTTGTTGAAAGGTATTATTTCGATCGGTGAAAATTGACTGAATAAAAAAAACCACACCGAGTATAAATATTCCGTTATCTTCGAAAGTCGGAACAACAAGTCTGCTCATATGTCAGGGCTATGTCGTGAGTGTTCTGACTGCCCTTGAATAGGATGTTCTGGATGTTCCAACTTGCTTCAGCGTTTTTGAAAAATTTAGTGGAAACAAGAATTGATGAAAATGATAAATTTGGTAAAGTGAGTTTTTCTTCGAAAATTTCAAAACCACTATACGCGCTATACCAAGTACATACTGATGTTTTTAGCATCTAGTCAGAATTTAAGGACACCAAATAACTTGTTTCAACTCAATTTGATACTGTTTATAAGCTGGTTGAATAACCGCGTACGCAAATATTGCGTTAGTTGTCCAAAATTTCATCCACATTTCCTTTAACAAAAATTATGGGAGACCAGTGAAGGGGCAACCGAAACAATTAGGGCTTTGCCTTGATATACGAGCTGTCTTGTTCAATTTACAGACTTAATAAATTGAGCAAAATTTTTTATTGAAGCGTTCTTATGTAAAATATCCGATAGATCTGCATTTTATCTGATACCTTAAGTACTAAATTTTTGCGTTTTTGTTTGTAAAAAAAGTTTTTGTATTTTTGTGTAACATCCGCGTTTTTGTATATAAAAAAGTCAACATTTCTAAGACTAATGTACAAACAAAACTGCTCGTATCAGGGCGCAGCTCTGAATGTTCCGACTGCCTTTTAAGGCCTATGAAGCAAACAATAACATGGAAAAATTAAATGTAATAAAACAAAATTAAAAAAAAAAATCTCCTACACGCCATAAAAAGTACTAACTGATAAGTTTCGCATCTATTAAAAACTCAATTATGGCAAATAAGCTTCCTTCAACCGAATTGGAACCTTTTTGAAGACGGATTAAATCTCGGCTTACGAGTTTATAGCCCGAAATATATCGCGCATTAATTGTCCCAAATTGGCCAAAATGGCAACCTTTAAACCCCCGTAACTTTACGAAAAATGATCACAGGTAGAATATTTTTTTCAAATTTGAGCTCAGGACAACAAATTCCGTCAAAAATGGCTAGTTAAAAAGTCGAAATTTGTCTGGAGAAAAAAAACCCACCCCGAGCACAAATATTCCGTTACTTTCGTTACAAAAGTTGTAACAATAATTTAAAATCTAAGGCAACATGGAAATAAAGGCTAAAGCTTTGATTATTACTGCTGGCGATCATTAAATACGGAGAAACAAAAAACTTTTAATCCACTTGTCTAAAAGCACAGTGCTGGTTTCCAACAGACAATTTTGAGCGGAAACATCGTGTCAGAAATTCAATCTCGGCACATACACTTAAAACAATGCAAGTGTTATGAAATAGAACAGAGAAGTTCCATGCTCGAAAAATAAGCAAAGAAGGGCCGCAAAAACTAACACTTTCGCCAGTGCAACATTCTTAAACAGTTGGTAAAAATTATATATTCAATTTTTCTAGCTGACATTTAATTGATTAATGAACAAATAATTTGTATTTTTTATAATTGACTCATTTTCAAGCACCCAAATTGATAATTTTCATAACTGCATTCGATTGAATCCATGCATTATAATCAGGGAGCAGGAAAATAAATAAATGCTGGCCCTCAAAACTTCAATTTTAACTTCCTGGTGGCTAGTAAAAAAAGTAGACATGTTTTGCATTTAGAATACTCAAAAGTTTTTCGTTCTTGTGCTAATACACGCGCATGCATGAATTCCTGGTTATAATTACCGACATCTATTTGTCATATGGCGGTGTCATTTTATTTGGATGCATCTTTTTAGATTTGAAGACGGTGAAGCATTGAACCTAAACGATTATTGAACTTAACTTCAATCCTTTTGTAAGAGTTATTTGTTCAAGAATAATTTTTCTTTCAGCATTTGGGCGGGGTTCCGCAGCTGGTGATTTTGCCTTTGCCCACCGGTGCTTCACTCAGAGAACAGAAGTTATCCGGCCCAAACACATTCGTTCCCCCCATGTTTCCCCCGGGGCCATAGTTGCAGGACACGACTATAGTGGCCATATTGGGATTGGGCCCCTTCTCACAGATGGCGTAATCGCAGCCCACATCTGTAGTTTGTTGCCACATAACCTGAAAAATAACGGTTTGCTTTGTTTTTAAAATGAACTCCAATTTCTGCCTAAATTGCTTTGAAAAGAAAACTTCGAAAGGCTTATGAAATCAAGTTAAGAATCGAAATTGAAAACTTCCAAATGACTCTTAAAAACGTGAGCTAAAACGCATAATAGTGATTGTTTTTATGTTTTCATCTTCAAAGATAGTGCGACAATTCGTAACGCGACAATTTGTAACAAGCGACAACTCGTAAAAAGGCATTAGCAAGTTGAATACGCTTACTCCACTTCGCTTAAGTCCGGCACAAGCTGTGGATCAACCGTACAACTTCTCCGTACAACTTCCCCATAATTTTTTAGTCTATTAAAATCTGATGCATAACAAAGCATTCGGAAAAATTGATATTTTTTTGACAAAAAAGAAGAAAAAATATTTTTGTGCAACTTTTGCATTGATATACAAAGTCGAAGCATCGCAGAAAGCATCATAGCATTGATATACAAGGTAAATGCTTCAAAATCACTCGGCGAAATCATTTGATCTAATTGATAAAAAAAAGTAATCGATACAAAATTATGATTAATATTTTAGGTTATTCTTCCGACTTTCGATACGAAAGTAACGGAATATTTGTGCTCGGGGTGGGTTTTTTTTCTTCAGACAAATTTCGACTTTTTAACTAGCCCTTTTTGACGGACTTTTTTATATCATTCAAAAGCTATTGTTGTCCTTAGCTAAAATTTGAAAAGATAATTCACCTGTGACCATTTTTCGTAGAGTTATGGGGGTTTAAGGATTGCCATTTTGCCCAATTTGGAACAATTAACGCGCGATACAATTCGCGCTATTAACGCGTAAGCGGAGAGTTAATCCGTCTTAGAAATCGTTCCAAATTGGTTCAAGAAAGCTTATATGCCATAATTGGTATAATAATAGGAGCGAAATCTATCTTTTTGTACTTTATATGGCGTGTGGGAGAATGATGTTCATAAATTTTTTTTTTTTATGATTTTAATTTTATTTTTGTTATTACTGCTCATGAAACCTCAAAAGGCAGTCGGAACATCCAGGGATTCACCCTGATACGAGCAGTCTTGTTAACAATATGAAATAGCTGTTCCGTATAAACAATTTTCTCGAGTCGTATTTTCTGCGCGCTTATTTGAAATGAATATATTCATTTCAAACAAGCGCGCAGAAAAAACGAATCGAGAAAACTTTTTATGCAGAGTAGCTATTTCATACTGTTAACAAAACTGCTCGTATCAGAGCGGAGCCCTGAATGTTCCGACTGTCTTTTAAGGTTTATGGAGCAGTAATAACTTTAAAAATTAATGTAAAAAATATAATGAAAATTTTTTTTTCTAAAATTTGAAATTTTTTAATGAAAATTATCCCCCACAAGCCATATAAAGTACAAAAAGATAGGTTTCGCTCCTTGTTACAAATCAGTTGCGGCAAATAAGGTACTTTCAACCTATTGGAACGATTTCTAAGACGGATTAAATCTCCGCTTACGCATTAATAGCGCGAAATATATAGCGCGTTAATTGTCAAAATTGGCCGAAATGGCAATAGTTAAACCCCCATAACTTTACGAAAAATGATCACAGGTGAAATAATTTTTCAAATTTAAGCTCAAGATAACAATACATTTTGAATGAGTTACAAAAAATCCGTCAAAATGGCTAGTTAAAAAGTTTAAGTTTGTCTGAAGAAAAAAACCCACCCCGAGCACAAATATTCCGTTACTTTTGTATCGAAAGTCGGAAAAATAACCTAAAATGTTAATATTAATTTTGTATCAATTATCTTCTTTGATAAAATAGCTCAATTTTATCCCCCTAAATTGATTTGTACTGTTGCTCCGCAATTTATGTTCAAATCATGACCCACAATTCGTTTTCAATAGATCCTTCAAATATAAGACATTTTCCAATGTAACTTAATTTGTACAGATAGCTAAAAAAGTTCGCAAAAAAAGTTCAACATTTTTAGTCGTTTTTTGGTGTGTCAAACTTCTAAGTATTACTTTTGAACCAACTCAGAACAAGAAACAGATTGATTTTTTGTTAGACTACTGAAAGCAAAAGGCTGTAAAAGTACCCAGATAAAAACACAGGATGACAACTGTGAACAAGCAACGAAAAACTTTTCCTTGCACCATTCGAAACCAATTTATTTTGATTTTAAGTTAAATTTACTCTTCCCCATCAAAAAAACCTAGAGAGTTTAGCTTAACTCCATTAAGTTCCAGTTTGTTTAATGTGGTTGGTTTGTAATGCAGTAAACAAAAATTTTCCAGGAAGAACTCAAGCTTCAAATTTTGGATGTTGCCTCGAAATGTGAGGCGACAATACATAACAGGCGACAGTTCAAAATCAACCGTACAGTCGCTACCCCCCTCCCTCCCCTTAAATGACCTACCGTAGAATTTCCTCCCCAAAAATGTATTAGTTCTGAAATTTAATTCCGCATAAAATACAGAAGAGGAAAATCCATGGGTCACTTAGGGAGAGACTTTACGGTTGATCCAGAATTGTCCACTTATCGATGAACCATCCAAATATTGAAGCTTGAGTTCTCCTTGGAAAATCTTGCAGTACAAACCAGTGCAGTACAAACCAACCACATTAAACAAATTGAAAATAACGGACTCGTAATACTAAACTCTCTAGACGCTTTTAAAGCCTTTTGCTTTCAGCATCCTAACGATAAATCAATCCGCCTCTAGTTCTGAGATGGTTCAAGAGCAATATATGGGAGTTTGACATATCAAATAAAACGACAAAACTGCTGAACCTTTTTTGCGAAACCCATCTATCCAAACTTTTTCCAGCTGTCCGTAGAAATTAATTTGCATTGGGGAATGCCTTATACTTGAAGGATTTATTGAAAATTACATTTATGTCGACCTATTACTATTTAGATTGATCAGTCAGAATTTTGATTGGTTGGATATTATCTGCCATTTGGCCCTTCCAAAAATCGGGCCCCAATATATGTTACCTGTGTGAAGTGTCCAGTTACTTTGGGAGCTGTGCTCTGTTTGGCACAGGTTCTGTATTCAGACGCGCTGTACTGGTAGCCCTCAATCTCGTCAAACCAGCCCTCCACTCCCAGAATAGCGTTCTCCGGAGCCTATAATAAAATCTAATTAATACATGCATTACCCTCTTTTCTCCCCCTCTCCACCAAATTACTCTATTAAATTCACTCGTGCAGTGTTATCAGAGTTATCCAAAATAGCAATAGCCATAGTTAATTTTGTCGCTTTGATCGTGCGAGTAAAATTAAGGATTGTCGGTTTTTGCGAACTGAAATGGCAAGCTTTGTAGTACTGCTAGGGATTCGGTGGATGATGTTTTAACCGGTAGAACTCGCCTGGTCTTCCGTTATCTTGGTCGCTGATCGACTGGCTAAATTTTCTCCCACGTAGACGAAACCTCCGAGTGACCTCCTGTCTCCCGTACTGCTGTGTCCCAAGCCACACTTTTTGGTTTCCTTAAGAATTTCAAGCAGATTCATTAAAAAATCACGAGACTAATGAACGGTATAGGAGTAAACGGTGAGTTTCTGTTTAACCCTTTTTAAGAACTAAACGCCTATGGCATTTAAAATTTTCTCGCGTTTGGAAGTTTTCCTATACTCAAGCAATCAGGCGTTTTAAGGCAAACGTGTTTTTTCGAAAAAAAAAAGACTGAAGCTTAGAAAATCAGTCTGTTCAACATTTAAAAAAGGTCGACAAAAATTGAAAGTAGCTAAAGTTCTGAAATATACCATACGCGAAGCAACTCACTCCTTTCTATATATTGATAAAGCATCAATTCCAGCCTGCGTTTGTGCCCATAAAACTTGCAAAAATTTCAATTTCATAAATTTGCGTTGCAATAATTTTTTGTTTAAGCTATTATTATAATAATTTATGACAAAATTTAATTTAAGAACCAAAAAAAAAACGTTCTTGAATGCGCGTTAGCGTTCACACGTAGCGTTCAAATTAAGTATATCTTGAAAATGATCTATCTGCTTGATTAATGTGTTCATGCCTTGAGAGTGGCAGTCCATGCTTTGGAGAATGAGGCCAATTGGGCATTCCACTGGAGAGGGGGGAGGGCAGCCGCTTCTCTGAACTTGTTGTGATGACACTGCACGGTCATGGCAAACAAGTCGTCCTCTTTCAGCGACCCATCCGAGTTCTCCATTCTTTACCGGAACAACAATAGGGTTCTGATTACAGTAATGAAAACATATGTCGAAAAGCATAACAAAAATGTGGCTTTTTTCAGAGTTTGGGCATTTAATTGATTTTGTCGTTGTATTTGGAATAGAAGAATAGCTGGAATGAAAATCAATAACGAAAAACAAGCACCATTCGAAACCAATTTATTTTGATTTGATGATTTAAAAAAAAAAAAAAAAAAAAAATGGTTAACTTGCTGTGAAAAGCTTTAAAAAAAAATGGGTCAACCGTACAATTTCCCCCAAATTGATTTAGAGGGGAGAAAATATGGACTTTTCAGGAAATCACTTTGAGTATTCCTTAGCTTTATAGAAAAATAACAGGTTATTTAGAGAAAAATGATTTAAAATACGTTAGTTTAGGTCATTAACCATTCAAATTTGACAAATCAAATCTTATGTGTCAAATCTTTGTTCGAAATGCATACATTATACAGAAATAATTAGAGGGGAAATTCTACGGTTGGTCACTTAGGGAAGGAGATTGTATGGTTGATCCAAAAATTATCTTGTTTGTTTCAGACCCTCGGCCATTTTTGATTAAAATGTGTGATAATTTGATTCTTTCAAGGAACCAATGCGGCAATTGAGCTTCAATTCAATATCTGCCGTTAACATAGTTTATATTTCAACTAAGGGAGTCGAGAAGTTTTTTGAGAATGAAAGATGTTTTTTTTGTTATTTTGATTGCCCGAAACTCTCCAAAAAATAAGACTACTCGTATCTGGGTAAAAATCTGAATTTTCTACTCTTCTTTAACGTGTAATTGTTTTTGATTTACAAACTGGGATATTTTTTGAAATAAATGTTTTTTTTTAAAAATGTCTTTCAGATTTTGTTTGAAAATATTCTTCCCTCAGGTTATGTTAAGTCAGAATTAATGTATTTAGCCTAACATTCTTATGACTTAAAATCATTTTTGGATTGATTTCTTCGCCGGATGAAAAAAAAAGTTTATGCGTATTATAAAAAAAAACATTGAAAACTTTGATTTTTTGACACACATTATCAGAAATTTTTGTTAGTAATTGTTCCGATTTTCGAAAGAAAACAAAATTTTTTTTCATGTTAGGTGTGGTTTTTTATCGAATGATTTTTCGGCGATTGAAATAATAGTTTTTAACAAGACGTTTTTATGCCCCATTGATGATATCGACTCCCTGAAATCAAAGTTAAAAAAGATATTTTTTACGTTTTGGAAGTTTGAAAATTGACAAATGGGGCGCTCTCTGGACTGTTTTAAGCGCAATTTGAAGATTATATATAATCCTGAAAACATAACGCGAATTGTTTTTATGCGTGGCGGTTTGTCCAGCACAACAAAAGTGTTTTAAATTGAACTGAGGCTAGCTAGAATGGAATCGGTCGCATTAATTCACTCGAAGTTTGATTTTGTTCAACATTTTTAATTGGACCAAGTTATCGTCCTCCCCCCTTTTTTTAACCTGGTTCTAAGTGGGAGTTTTTAGACCAATCAGAATTGAGCTTTTCACACGCAGTGCTTAGCAAATTTAAATTATACTGAACGCTTGGGTGGAGGATCTTAACTTCATCTTAACTTTTTCAACATTCTTTCGCCAAAATTCTATTCGATACGGATTAAGAGGCAGTCAGAACATTCAGGATTTTGCGAGCAGTCAAAACTGCGCGTTAATTAGTTAGTTATTCAAAGTTGGCCAAAGTGACAATTTTTGAGTTTCCTTAAAGTAATGAAAAATGACAGAAAAAAAAGTATTGTTCAATTTGAGCCTTCAATACTTTTTATGTTGTACAAAAGTTTTGTCAAGTATTTCCTGTTAAAACCTCACCGAGTCGCATAAAAAGCTTTTGTTTAAGTTCAGCAGTTTAATACATTAGAAGGACGATCGCTGAAATTCAGTCTGACAAAAAACTGAAATATTTTAAAAAGCCATTTTAAAACAAAATTTCGGAAAACGTATCACGACTGAAACTTTTAAACTATGATAGCACAATAGAAGAACTACAAAACACTTTTGAGTTACCCAGAGATACGCACCCTCTTTTGTACATTTGCCGGCGTTGCGAAAGTGGATGCCAAAATAAGGTCTTTAAAATGTTTCGAGAGATCTCAAGAAGTCAATATAGTCGAGCTTCAAAAAATTTGACGTTTAAAAAAACAATTAAAAATCCACAATCTAGAAAACCCTAGATTCAACCCAAGGCCATAAATGCATCTCAAATTTAGATAGGGTTAACTCACCTTTGAAATTTTCCTTGCTTTAGTTTTGTGCCGAGCGAGGAACAAGCAGCGGTACTCCAATTATACACAGAATCAATAGAAATCAAACTATTACATATAAAAAACACGGCCAAAATTAAATTCATTTTATTTTAAATGTTTACTACAAACCAGGGATGTCTCAAACTTCTTGTTGAGTGAGAAAAAAATGAAAAAATTTGAGTCTTCAATAAGTTTGCGAGTGAGAAACAGATTTGAATGTGGGTTTGTCAGCACGGCTGAACAAAACATCTGAAGCCTGTGGCAACTCGATTGTAGGTTAAAATGCTTAGTTGTTTTAAAAAAAAACGACTCTATTGTCACTAAAAAAACTTTTGTTATTCGTTATTTCAGTTTAATTTTTTATTGGACAAAAAAAAACAACTGACGTCCGATACCTGAAAAATTGTAGAAACTGGTTCATGAAATCATGATACTGGTCATGATACTGGTATTCATGATACTGGTTAACTATCACGATTTTAAGCCGCCTTTATTTCAATCTGCAATTAGTGAAAACACAATTACCCCCTAAGAACAGATAAAAAAATTGGGATCTTGTTAACTATTTCGCCCCCTATTTCAATTTTCAGAGATTTGGTGGCCTCAATTTTCATCCATTTAAAACTTTTTACGTGGGCATTATACAAAAAGCGAGTGATACAAATACGAACGCGCGAAAATTAAAACCCACTTCATTGTTGACACTTTTGAAATGCATATTTTTTTACAGAAATGGTTGTCAAAAATAATACAAGCATAGGGGGTAAATAGTTAACAAGGTCCAAAAGGGGGGGGGGGATAGTTAACAAGATCCCAAAATTATTTAGAAATAAAACTTAAGTGCAGCCAAAATGGGACCGATTCGTTTAAAACAATCAATGAAATGCTTAAGTGATTTTCGGTTAAATAATTTTGGTAAGGAGGCAACTTTAGCCAAAATTATTTACCAAAAATACCAGGGAAATTTAATTGACGCCATTTTGAAAACTATACAAACAATTTGCACACCTAATTTTCCAAACTTATTCATTATGAAAAAACTTTGTTTCCTCGGCGAGCATTTATGAAGTAATTCTTCAATTCAAATTATCTATTAGAAATAATCCTTATTGCAAGCCCAAGAACTACAGCAAACGCAAACTGCTCAAAATATCAAGTTAACAGATGAAGAAAAAATTGCAAAAGAAATTGCAAAAAAAGAGAGATTAGTGTACTTTTGAAAACCCATATTTTATCAAACTTGTTCTTGATATAACCAAATTGAGTAAAACCTAAAATTATTTTCCCCCGGCCGATTTTCAACGATACTTACGGAAAAACTGTGCTCAATATGTTTTTCTGCTGAGAAATTCGGTCATCAACACGTACACAACATATTAAGCCAATAATTTAAAGCCATTTGAAAATCAAGATGTGCTGAGCTGAGCGTTAAAGATATACGCGTTTGAAAAAGGATAATTACTTCAAATTTGGATAGTTATTGTTCCGAAGTTTTAAGTTTTTACCTGCCATTTTTGACGGAGCTTTTTCAAATCAGCCGAAAGACATTGTTTTCCTGAGCTCAATAATAAGAACATATTTCACCTGTGGCCATGTATCGTAAAGCTATGGGGATTTAAATATTGCCAATTTGGCCCATTTGGGATAATTAATTGGGATATAATTCCTGTTAATAACTCATTTTTGATGTTTCAGTTACTCCAATTTGTGTCGAGTGAGGCACAAGTAGCAGTACTCAGATACATTTCTATATAAAATTGTACATAGACTTTGTTTTTTTTTTGAAATTTTTGAATTTTTTTCTTCAATTTTTTATGGAGAATATTGCACAAAATGCAGTCGGATCAGTACCGGCTTCACGCCGAAACAAGCAGTATTGTTGGTTATATCTCCTGTTTTACTTAAACGCGTATTTTATTTTAACGAAATACATTTTTATACTAGAAATTGTGACTGAAACTTTTGTATAAAGTTTGAAAATTATTAATGCAAGGCATTAAGATTTTTAAAATAATTTTCTTCTTCACACAGCGTGAGCGTGGATAAAATCAAGATATATAGTTTAGAGGTAATCAAAAGGTTCTCATTTGTTAATTAATTTTCCAAGAAAATTTTTTCTCAGAAACTTGTTATCGACGTTATAGAGAAGTATAAAGGTTTCGGGCTTGTCACGAGGCTTTTTAACATATCTTTAAATCACATGTCTCCTATTTAAAACAGAAATTACGTTTAACTGTTCTTTTGAAATGTGAGTCTACCTACTAGAAAATACTGGTTATATAAAAAAAATGAGGCTAAGTAACATGACAAAACGCAGTTTGGAGTTAGTACAGCTAAAAATAAATTTTCGAATGAATTTTTTTTTGGATCAAATTTTCATCAACAATTTTTTGCTCTCCAAAAAATGCCAGTGTTTCTTCATCAAAAAGGCGTGCAATTTCCTGTGCATTGCTCATTTTTTATTTTGGTCGGAGCTCCAAGAGTTGCTCCAGTTGATATTATAATTTGTTGAAGCTTCATCTACCTCTAACTATTCGATTAAAACAAAGCATGCACTAGTTTTTCGAGAAAAGCGTACAAAATATCGTAAATTGACAGAAACACATTGACAGAAATACTTGAAAAAAGAGCTAAGGATCTAATAAAAAATTCTTTTTGCCAGAGCTGATTTTTCGGACAAAATTTCTCTTCCAAAATTGCTTGATGATTCGCATATGCAAAATTTGTCAAGAAATGTAAAACGTCAAGCGACAGTGTAAAAACGCAAAAATTGAACTACTCAAAATTAATTCCGATACAGCATAGAGATGTAGAGCAGTATTTAATTCTTTCACCAGTAGCTCGAGGCAATTCCAAACACAGTGCGTTAGATCGAAATTTTCTTTAGTTAGTTATTTTGCGTGATAACCATTCTTAAAAAGCATTTTTTTGAGACTGCTAGTATAATAGCTAAGTTATGAACAATCAACTTTTTCAAGCTTATACCCGGTTCTTTTCGCAGAGTTTCTGAGATATGTAGAGATTCGCTTTTCAAGACACTTCCCATTTGGGCGTTGAGTAATATAAGTAAATGTTGTTAAGATACTGAAAACGATATCAAATTAATTGAAAAGTTAGAAAATGAAGTTAAGCCTGAAGTTGGAGTAGAATCTACAAAACTACAAACACGTTTGACTGTACTTCAATTTTTTGCGTACACTCTTTTTAATGCGCTAAGTGAAACAATTCGTAGCTGAGAGAAAAAATGACAGCTTGCCTAAACTGACTCCTCGGTGCATTGTCAACAAAAAACAAGTTTTTTTTCTGCATCGTTACCGGAATTAGGATCTTTCTTAAACGACCATTTCAATGCATCATTAACCAGGGCCTGTAAGAAGCAATAATTGGTTTACTAAAAAAAAACTCAATTTCGCTATAGCCCCATGGATTTTGTTATTTATTCTTTCATGACGTCTAAGCTGACCGTGGCCTTAGTGTTCCATCCATCGGAAGCAACGGTTACAGACAACTTCCCGAGAAACTCCAAGGAGTTTTTCACAGTTTCGTGAAACTCTTTATTCTCCTCACGTGGCTGCAATAATTTGCTGGCGTACACCAACCTCCTAAACTTGCGGTTTTAGCCCCCCTTCCACCTCCTTAAACTCCTTATCCCCCTTTCCTGTTAAACTATGAAATTACACGCTCTCTTGCCTAACTCAAATTTTTCCGCTTGAAATTGCCACGTTCTGTCGACGATGACTGGGCTTCTCCGTTTCCTTAACCTGTTCATTCCTGCTCTTCTCGGACTAACCGTATCAACCGGCTCCCTGATTCTTAGCATGCAAAAGTATCAAGTAAACCCAAAAATTTGCAAACTAAGGGGGAGCGGAAAAAGCCTGTAATACCTCATAAATTTTTGATTCATCGAAAGAAAATAAATTGAAAAAATTCAGGGAAAATTTGATAAAAGTACCGCGTTTTTTACTCGCGTCATTCATTTCAAAAAAAATACAAAAAAAATCTCATCTGTAAACTAATCTCCTCAAAATGCGGCTGCATCTTCTTGATTTCACTTTCTTGTTCCTTTCCGGTCTGCAGATTGCAGAGTGTTTTAATTTAAATGGACGCAAAATAAGAACCTCATCACCAAGTTCTCGCAGGTCCATAATAAATGGACACGATGCAGCAAAACGAAGAAACTTTTTTGTTCAAATCGAGATTGATTTCTCGGAGGAGGGCAAGGAAGAATACATGACTTGTGGAGGCGCAGTAATACGTCCCCTCTGGGTTCTCACGGCATCGCACTGTCTCTCACTGCCCAACATATCTTCCGTTCTGGTCCAAATCGGCGACTTCACCGACCTCAACTCCACAATTGGGATCTTCTCCAGTTTCCCATCCCCACGTAAAAAAATAAAAATTGTTGAAAAATTGTTCTTGCAGCAGTTTGAATGTAAGAAATTTTGGCTCTTTTTCCTCCCCCCCCCCCCCCCCCCCCCACACACACACACACACACACACACCTCGTATGAGCATCAGTTTCATGATGTCATGATGTAATGAGTGGGTTTACAAGGTTAATTATGAAGACCAAATATGTTTGTCATGACCCGATTAGTCCGCATGCAAATTTTCTTGTTAATCGGTTGGTGGGAACAGTAATTTTACTTGTAAAAAATTGCAAGTGGGGAAAAAGAGCTAAAATTTTGTATGAATATGCGTTCACTTGTTTGTTCATCGCAATGTAGATCATCAAAGTCACTTTGAATAGATTTTCGTCAATTGAGTTTCAGAAATACATTAAATGGGGGAACTGGAAAAGTGCCCAAAACGTAGTAGACTACATCGAAGGAGAGATGTTTGTTCACGAAGAATATAATAACACAGAATACGAATACGGCGGAACTGTAATGAATGACGTGGCGCTGCTGAAATTGTCCGAAAAAGTTCCAAGGACAACTCATGTGCTGCCTCTGTGCGGCAAGGACTTCAACAGCACTGGATTGGAGCTGAAGCTGGTAGGGTTGGGAAATATTCACCCCATCGCTCCAATAACCGGAGAGGCAAAAAAAGAGGAGCCTACAGATTTGCGGCTGCAGGAAGTAGAGTTAGGAGAGACAACCACCTGTCCCAAACTATGGAAGGGCCATACACCCGTTTCAGAGATGGAAGTATGTGCTTTGGGGGGTGATAAACAAGGCTGCTATGGCGACAGTGGGGGCCCCTTGTTCCCCGTTGACGAAGAGGACGATGCCATGTGTCTCTATGGTGTCGTGAGCTACGGAAGTGAGAACTGCCTAGGTGGTGTAACCATCTTCATGAAAGTGCCCTACTTCGAAGACTGGATTGAACAAACAATCCATCAGAACAGTTAAACAATTTAAAATGCTTCTGTCACAAAATCAACTAAAGCATCTGAATTTATACAGTAGTTAAATTAAGGAGGTCAGACATGAAATTTTCAAGCTAACTGTTTTATCGGCTACGCATAGTGAAAGTGGGGCTCTTTTCCAGTTCCCCCATTTTTTTTCTGAAGCTCAAGTACAATAGTCTACCTAGGAGTTACTTGTCTAAGAGCCGGAAATTAAAAAGAGCCAAAGTATGACTTCTGGTATAAGCAAAACAGGGCAAATTGTGGCCTTTTCCAGATCCCTTTTACGAGATTAAGCAAATAAAATTGCCATAATTGATTTGTTACAAGTAGCGGAATCTATCCTTTTTTACTTTATATGGCGTGTGAGGGGATGATTTTCATGAAAAATTTCAAATTTTAGAAGAAAAAAAATTTCATTTTGTTCTATTACAATTAACTTTTAAAGGCTATTACTACCACATAAACCTTAAAAATCAATCAAAACATTCAGGGTTTTGCCCTGATACGAGCAGTCGGCTCTTTTTTCTTTTCCCCCCCACCTCACACGAGCTTCAATATATTAGTGTAACGAGTGGTTTTACGAGGTTGAGTATGAAGACCAAATATGTTTGTCGTAGCCTTATTAGTCTGTATGTAAATTTGCATAACAATTGGACAATGTGGTCAACAAAATTAAATGTAAAAATTTGCAGGTGGGGGGGGGAAAGGAAAAAGAGCCGAGCAGTCTTGTTCAAAATTGGAATTCAAATGTGAGCGCAAGCGTTTTTCTTGAAAGTTTTATGGCAAACATTTTCGGCTCTTTTCCACTTTACCCTCAAATTTGGATTCCAATTTTGAAAAACGGTTTCTACCTTGTCAAAATGCAAAGAAATTACTAAACTATTGAGGTGGAAAACTAGAATAATGCGAAAACTACTGTTCTTTATACCTTTCATCGCATCATCACGCATTCAGCCATCATAGCACGTAATTGCAAGTAGTAGTCTACTTCGCCGGCGCTCCAAAAGGGGGGGGGGGTACCTACACAGGGGTGCTCCGGGGCCTAATCCCAAAACCATGAATGAATGAATGAATGAATGAATGAATGAATGAATGAATGAATGAATGAACATAGGCGCTCCAAACAAATTTTGAAACCACACGGGCACTCCAAAGAGGAAAATAAAACCATATGTTTTATATCCTAAGTGCTATGAAATGACTATGTTATAATAAGTCACTCCTGTTATGATATATAATAAAAAGTAGTAGTAGAATTCTTAAATGGTATATAAATGTTGGAGTGGATTTCCTCCCATTGTTTTCAAATCATGTTAATACAAACACTTCAGCTTAGGAGTTAAGGAAAGAAAGTAACCATATAAAGGATTATTGCAGTACAAACAATTTTTTAAAATGCGAACAAGCTTAATTTAAAACTAGGCAAACAGTTTAGCAATGGTAATCAGTCTTTTTCTTTGAAAGTTTTCTTTGTTTGCACACTATTTCAGGTGACGAATTCATATCACTAGAGTCAGTTTCTTCAAATGTTCTACTTCAAACTGTTATCTATAATATCACAGAAAAAATTATCTTCGGGAACCTTGCAATGACCGAAAGGAAGAGTTGAGAATGCATCGAAGTTGAGGAAGCGCTTACCATCGAAAGGTGAAATTGCAATTTTGTTAGTTATAACAGTCTGTATCTCATGTTTTTTCAATTTTATCGCATAATTGTTCAAACGCAGCGTCTTTTTATCGAACAGGCATTCTTTGAATTGGGCATGAAGTAGTTTTGTTTGCGCGAGTTTTGTAATTCCTTTTGACGAAATTTTTTGATTCAGATCTAAACAAGACAACATTTAATAATAGTGGGTACTGAAAGTGTTCGGGTGTTTTTTTCTTGCGAGCCTCACAAAATAACTCTTTTGGAGCGGGAACTAGACAAGAAACTGTTCTGTTTAAAAATGATCAAATCAACATTGTCCAGTATTGAGTAGACAAATTTTATCTGGGGTAAGAAAAGTATTCGGCTGCTTTTTCGAGAGCTTCACAAAACTAAATATTTTTTTTTAAAAAAAAAAACGGGAACTAGACTAGAAACTATTTTACGTAACAAGCAATCAATTCACGCTTGTCCAGTATGGAGTATAGTTTTGGCTTCAGGGCTACATGTTCCTCCACAAGTTTCCCTCCCATCTTGTCTTTCAGTTTCAAAACGACTTTTTTGTTTTCCTCATTATGCAGCGGGAACTCTGAGGGGTAGTTGGAAAAGTCGAAATCTTGTTGATAAAATTTGAAGTTTTCATAGATGACTTCGGTTTTCACGGCATATATGAAGCTATCGGTAAAGCTGTATAATAATTCCAATTCGAGGTTTGGTTTCATTTTTGTGTGATGAAACTCAAACATATACTTTTTTGCGAGGAGCAAAATTACTGCCCCAACCAATCTTGGCTTAGTCTACTTCACGCTTGAAACCTCTAAGGACATCGTGGCAATTTGATCATTGATTATTTTGAACGGTTTCATATTGCTCGTAGATGTTTTTTCTAGAAGCTCTTTTTGGTGGTTACAATTTCAACATTCTTCCTATTCAGCATAAGCTCCATAGTTTTTCCGAATGCAGAGTTTACTCGATTTTTGTGGAAGTCCTGCTCGGGAGTTCGGTATTCAGCTGAACAAAAGAAGCCAACCATCTTGCTTGCCTAAAGTGTAGCACTTGATGCAATTGTTTGACTTCTATACCAAGTTGAACATATAGAAAAAGGGTCAAGTAATGGAGAACATACTTGTGCTTCGGGTTTAGGGTTTGCATCAGCTTTGCTTTTTTAGGAAGGCTCCTAACATTCGGTCGGGCAACCATTTCGATTTGATCCGTGCTGAGCATATCCATTGTAACTACTTCCTTCGTAGGCGCGATGAAAAAACCTTGAAAGTATTCTTGCAAATCTTCAGGTATTTCGAGAACGCATTTCACAACGTATCCCAATTGAGAATCCGGGCTAGTCAACAGTATTTGTGGCAAAATTTTTTCAACGTAGTGGTAGTGGATAATTCTCCATAATTCCCCGTAAAAAGTTATTCGCATCAATGTGAATTCTGAAGCTTGATTCTTCATTTGGGTCAAATGAGCTTGTGTACTTGTTGTTCGCTTTACAATACTTCTCGGCATATACAGATGACATGCCACCGCGGATCAATTTTTGGGTTATATCCAAGTGCTCATGCTTTGCTAATAGTCTCAAATCCGCCCTGTACAATTTTAAGAACGCGCCGCCTGCAAGATTGCTCGCGCTGTAGCGAAAGGAGCAGTCCAGTCCATACGTTTTGTGACAAACAGATCTGAACTGCTCAAGTACACATGCTAAAAAGAGAACATCTGACGCTAAATAGATATCCTTGTATTCTCCTACGTTCTTGCATCATAGCTGGTAAAATACTTTTATCGCATGGTTGTATTCCATTTTGTCAACGCCGACTTCTGCCCCTTGTAAACTGTTTATCCACAATCTTCTTGCTGGCAGTTTTGTTTCATCAATTTTTTTGAAGCTGTTCACGTAGGAATATGGCTAGTAGCCCTTTTGCTTAAGGAGATCCATTTACTTTTGTGAGTAACCCCTTGATGCAAATTGTGTTTCCATCAGCTAAAATCCGTCTGATGGCAGATTTTCAATTAGCTGACTCAATGAAGAGAGCATAAACTTGTATGAGTCTAAGAACCGAAGAGCCATGAACCGTCTATTTGTCTTTTTTTCCCTTGTTTGTTCTCAACTTTCTTTTATCCAAACCGACATAGTCAGCGAGATATATTTTTCGTCAGTGAAGGGGACTACTGAAAACTGGTTTTTCATTTTCGCATTGTGAAGGGCTTTTACAGTAGCATCTATGTAGTAGTTAGACAAATTGTGAACTATTACCGGAGCGTAGTTAGGCATTATCCCTGCTAGATTACAGTCCTGATGCGCCCAAACTGAAATTTGTTAGTAACGTGGCAGTGGTCGACTACCATCATGGATTCTTCAGCGAACTGTTCCTCACAAATCCAACAAGTGTCTGCCGCTGCTCTCGTAAATTCGGGTTGGCCTACAAAGGTGAAGCATTTACGATTGTCATTGTTGATCTCCCTCGCTAATGGTTCCAATGATTTTATCAATTTCCTTATAGCGTCTGGTCCTCTTCACATTTCGTACTTAATTGGAAATGAGATGCCATTCACATGCTCACTTACAACTAGTCCATAGCTGCATGGCTTATAATATTCACTGTTTGGGTATGCGAAAGAGCTGGATTACGGGAAGGTCTTGGATCAGGGATACTTATTGACTCCAGATCGAAGTAGATTACGCGCGCGGCAAAACATCTTGCCATTAAATTCGAGAACATTTTTTGGTTTTGTTGGGTTTTGGCATCTTTTTTGTTAGTCCTTCCGTATTATAACCCATTTCTTGATAATTTTTTTCATGATTTTGCTTGACGGGCAAATAGGAAAACTTTTTATACATATTTTGTTTCGTATGCGGAATGGCTGTTTTCGCACAAACATCACCATCTTACACAGGTCTTCGATGAGGACATAATTGTAGTTGTCGTCGCTGTTGACGAACAACAGAAGGTCAACCGCAAAGTTACAGTCGTACCTTTTGGACAATAGCTCGTTGTCCTCATATCTAAACCAATAAATTAGGTTATCCAAAAGCTAATTATTTAACCGGATTCTACTTAATCTCGTCTAAAGCATTGTGGACAACGTAAATGATTTTTTTAGTAAAATATTTTTTTCTAATTGTATCACCGAAAAACAATGATTTGTACATTGTTGAGCCATTCAAACTGCTCAATGTCAAACAAGCTCATAAGCATCTGGTAGTCACCGTTAATCTCCATCAGATTCGGCTGTAGTTTTTGATCAAATGTGCTGATCTGTGCCTTTTTCCGCCATTGTTGTTCCGGATTGTATAGAGGCGGCTTTTTGGGTTGCGCGTGATAAGCTGTGTAGTAGAAATACAGCAAACAGTTATGA